AAGGACTTCACTTTATGATAAAAGAAAAAGACCCCCTATACACACACCACACTCGCAATATAGTTTACAAGGAGGTCTTCAACAATATTACCCAGGTACACTACATAAACTACACTTTCAAAAAACAACCATACACAATAAACAAAAAAGGTGACTGATAAGTTCCTTCTCCTACAGGAAAAAGACAATACAAGTCCAACACTGCAGAACGACAACATCACTAAATGAGGCATACATGTATGGAAATCCATTAATGAGGTACAAGTGCAACAACCCACTATATACAATTGACTAATACAAAACATACGAGTTATGCCCCCCTAAAACATTTTAAAAAACTTATTAATACAAACGTAAATACATAGACACATCTACTGCCGCCATTTATTTCAATATATTCTATTACTTTGGATATAATACATACGTGAATACAAATACAAAACTCACTATGATTCTTCCAAACAATTAACAGAATCACTGTTTTGAAAGCCTTCAAACTTTTACAACGAAACTATACAACCTCCTTACCTCAACAAAATACCGACAGAACATTCGATCTTAATATATGCAAAAAAATATTTCCCCAATTCTCATACGTGATGGGGAACTCTTGCAGTCTTTACGAAACAAAGCCTATACTGGACCAGAAACTGTGCTTGGTGCTGAAAGGAATGCTGCTATTTTGACACCAAAAGCTGGTGCAAAGGATCCATGTGCAATTCCTTTAAAATGTCACATATCTGCTGCACTTCAGTCTACTGCAGGTGAGACCTTTCCTTTTATGCACATAAAACACACACTTTATTACCAAAACAATCGTCTAGATAGGTCACATCAGATGTAACTTCAGGTCAGACCTTTCCTTCTATATGTCACATATTTGCTGCACTTTAAGATTACAAATATTTTCAAATGACAATGTAACTTAACCTCATCTATTATGCACTCTTTCTTAAATTTACATACTGGTGTATTTTTGGAAGAAAGTATTTGTTATACAAAAAAAACACTTATGCATTTAACATAATCAAAAAAACAAATAAAGCAGAATCTTTTTTAAAAACTAAAATACAACACCATGCATATCGCTTCCTTTTGTCTTCCTGATGAATTTTGAAAAAAATTTCCTAATGCATCATGTTATTCAAAAAATAATAATACTGCCGTAAAAAAAACTGCATTTACTAATAAGCTCATTTTAGAACAATATGGATATTCTTTTAACATTAACTTTGGCATTATTTTTAAAACTTATAAACCCTTATTTTATTTTTAACTATGTTCATCTCTTATAATGTCTGTGCTTCCTCAGCCTTATCGCCACATCGATCTATTATGATGGTTGTTTACTCTTCAGGTACACAACATTAAACTGACAAGAGACAAAGGAATTTTACTACTTCATGATTCAAATGACAAAGAAACTTAATCTCATCTCTTATGTACTCTTTCTTAAATTTTCTAAATGCAGTATTTTTTGAAGAAACTCTTTGTTATACTAAAAAAACCCACTTAAGACAACAAAAATATCTCAAAATAAAAATACCCCCTTGCTCACATCCTTATGTTATTCAGCATCATTCTTAATCTAGGCCTTTGTATTTCTTTGTTCTATTTCCCCAACATCTGTTGCAACACTATTCACGTATCAAAAACTTTCCTAATGGAGATTAACGCCTCTTGACATGGACATTTATTTATGCAAATAATGCTTGAAGCCATATAATAAAAAATTTTGATCATAGCAACCACCTTGGCTACCTTTAACGGTGGTTTCTTTAATGCCCAAATACGTTGGAACATCATTCTGTAATAATACATCGACTTTATTCACCTCAACCACGGTTTTAAAATTACTTTCCTCTTTAGCTTAGGTTCTTTTTTATTATAACTAAAACTATTAAGACATATTGAAATGCCATAGTATTTCAATGATTCAGCACGGAAAATTTGACTTGGTTTCTTCACCTCAACTCATCTGTCGTCTTAAGACTTACGTCTTGAATAGTATTACGAGTATAGATAGTGTGACAAACAATTATACTTCTTAATTCCATGGCACAAACACATGCATACATCTCCAGCCCGTGCGAAGCACGGGGACAACAACTAGTTTTATAGGGAGTAAAAGTTAAAATAAGAAAAGGGTAGAGAAGGTATTTTGGGTAATAGCATGGGTGGCCTTTGATTTATAAAAGGAACACAAAAAACTCCTACTTTTAAAATTTATTTGTAATTTGTAATACTCTTACTCCCTTCGTCCCACAAGACATTACCAATTTTGATGTATTTTTTATCAAATAGTTACACGTTTTGACCATAAATTAAATATAATCTAAAGATAAAAATGTTATAAAAATTTGATATATCAAAACTAGATCCTAAGATGAATTCAATTATATTAAATTTATATTACAATTCAATATACTTTTTTCACAATTCGTTGTTAAAGCGTCTAACTGTTCGACCAAATACTATTCAAAATGGGTAATGTTTTGTAGGACGAATGGAGTATAATTTTTAAATGGTGCACAAAGGCCCCCTCTTGCCTATTTTTAGATATAAAATGACATTTCTGTCCTTTTTTCTCTATCTTCAAGTTTCACTCTTTTATTTACATTTTTTGTTATACAAATAAATAAAATAAAATATACGCCCCCTTTCTCAAATTAAAATTTTTAACTTATTTAATTTTCAAAAAATAGTTTTGAAAAGTAAAATAATGTTGTATTTTAAAAGTAAAATAATTTTTTAAGGACTTTAAAAAATGAAGAACAAAAAGATGAAATAAAATACGAAGTTAAAGACTATTTTTTATATTTTTCTTTTTTTTCATTACCTTTTTCAATTATTATTTTTACTTTGTGCATAGTATTTATTTTTTCATTTTCTTTTGTAATATTCTCCAAAAAAAATCTTTTGTTTTCAAAAATACATTATGGAAAAATTTAATTTGAGGTGGGAGCGTATATTTTATTTTATATATTTTTATAATAAAGAGAAATATAATTGGGAAAATTCAAGATCGAGGATAATAAATGGCATAAATGTCATTTTTGTTTTAAAAATAGGTAAGGGACATGTGTGCTCTATTTAGAAATCATAGAGAGTTTACAAATAATTTTTGAAAATATGGGAGGTTTTGACGCCCTTTTTGTAAACTGCATGGGTATCCATGCTATTAGCCCAAGGTATTTTTATTGAAATAAAGTAAAATATATTTGACAAAAACAAAAAAAAATTGAATAAACTTGATATGTGTGTACGTTTCTATATATGTATATAATTTTTTTAGTAACGCTTTAAGTCACACCTAACTTATATTTTTATTTTTGATACATCCGCACACTCGCATTCGCATTTGCCCACGTAGCTACCTTCTGTGATCTAGGATAAAACGCAAACAACTACATGCATTAACAACGGAAGCATACGAATTACGAAGAGATGGAAGCACGAAAGAATTTTGAAGAAGATGTTCTGTTTTGGAAGTTAAGTTGTAAGGGTTAAGGAAGGAAGGCGTTGGTACACAACAGTGTTTGGATCCTCCAAATCTAAGCATCTCTTTGACAATGACTTAACGAAATATGACGCTATTTTGATATCCCCGGACAATTAAAAAACTAGTCCCAAACCCTGTCGTTTGGATACAATTTTGTTAGTTAGCTCGAAGAGTCATTTTAGCATTTCCAGAATGCAATTCTTTCTCGGATAGGGGAGGGCTACGGATGGCAATGAGTCAAGCTCGCTCGGGTTTGAGTATATTGGAATCCGACTCGACCTAGGTCAGGTTCAGGTTTGATTTTGGCGAGTCGATTTTAGATATTTAGTTTTTCGATTCGGATGCGGTTTAAGATTCAATCGGGTCGGTTACGGTCAAGTTCAAGTTTGAATACTAATAAGAGTATTCATGAAAAAATTAAGATTGAAATACATTAAAAAATTAAAATTTTGCAATTATGAGACTGGCCCTGCACAATCTTGATTCTCCCATCTAAGAACCCGAAATAAAACATCTATGTCGGTGGGCACTAGGCAATTGACAAGGCAAGGGATACTTTGGGGGTAATACTCGACTTCGAATCCTGACAATCACGCTCGGAAGCAATCATGCTAAGCATAAGATCTCTGCAAATAACAAATGCAAACACTATCCTTTGCCACCAATCTAAGTATGGGTAAAAAGCGTTGATTTGATGAGTGTAAAGAATAATTTGTGGTGTGGAAAGAATAGTTGTTTTTTGGAACATGCTACATGTACCCTAAAATTTGCACCTCATTTGTACACCAAAGATATGCACCAATATTTTGATGGTTCACACTGACACAAAGTGTTGGTGCGTTAACAAAAATTTACAGTGACACAAAGTGTTGATGCGTAAACAAAAATTAGCATTAATTACACCAACACAAAATGTTGGTGCATCACTGTGGTATACAAAATGAGGTACAAATCCTTGGGGTACAAATAGCTTTACCCTTATTTTTTCTTTTGTTTTAATCCGTCCGAATCCACCCACCCCTAAAAGTAATAATATAAGGGCATTCTAGTCAACTTGTCACATATCTCTCTTTTCCTTGGTAATTGTGTCCGTTTCAAAGCGGACAAAAACTAAGGGACGGATGGAGTACTATTATTATTATTATTATTATTATTCGTATTATATTAAGGAAATCAATATAGACCCAAGGGAACCGAAAAGAACGAAATATAAAAGTGGCTGCTCTGCTGAAAATATTATGTCGAAGACGTTGGACCTTTATTATGAATCGGAGAAATGGGTTTTCAAGTTTCAGGAAATCTAGAAACTTCTTTAAAGGAGCTCCAACTTCCAAACCCTCCGAGACTGGTTTGTACTCGACGAGTGGAGGCGGACATTCCATCGACCTCAACGCCACATGAGACGACTTCCCCCATGGATCGGGCGAGGAACCGAGTTGTCAAAGCCACCCAATCGGGTCAAAAGGTATTTCGTAATTTAATGTTGTATTCGTTTATTTTTAATTTTCTAAGTATTACAATCCTTTCTTATTTTTTTTTTAAATTATTCATCTTTTTTTAAATAAAAATTTGTATTAAATTTCTATAAATTTTGAATTAAAAAATGACAAATAATGTAACAAAACAGAGAGATTGATTTTCATGGCGGTATCATTGTAAGATTTTGAGGAACAAAAAATTAATGAAATGCCAATGTGACACGAGTTGGGGCCGGGTCATTTACATTGTAAATGGTCTAAAGCATCAACCAATCAGAATGGAAAAGCTATTTGTACCCCATTTTGTATACTGCAGGGATGCACCAACATTTCGTGTTGGTGTAATGTTAAATTTTGTTAACGCACTAATACTTTGTGTCAGTGTAAATTTTTTATAACGCATCAACATTTTGTGAAAGTGTAACCATAAAAATGTGTGCATACTCTTGGTGTATAAATGCTATACAAATTTTGGGCCTTTGGGGTACCATGCTCCAATTTGTAGCCTTGTGGTCACTTCTCACGTTTTACGCTTCCTTCTACACACTTTTGTAGCCTCTTCCTGCTCATAATTAGTGTCTCGTTTGGGCTCTGGGCACCAAATTCGCGCGGGAATATTTTTGGCGGAACGGAGCAGACGAAGGACGCATGGGTTAGTTTGTTAACAATCTCCGCATTTCGCTCGCTCTATATTTATGCCCACTCTCCTGCTTTTAGATTCCCACTTTCACCTCAGCTGTTAGAGAATTCATTTGAAAATATCGTTCAATCTCTCTCTCTCTCTCTCTCTCTCTCTCTCTCTCTCTAGCAACTGCATCGTTCCAACTCCGGTGAAGTTCACTGACAATGGTGAGTAAATCGCGATTCATCTATGAATTCGTGTTACTGTTTTGGCCTAATCCGATCGCTCTCATCTTAATTTCAATTTTGATTCGCTCAAATCGTTCAGGTGGTCTCGCAGAAGTTGAAGGAAGCTGAGATCACAGAGCAGGACTCGCTGCTTCTCGTAATTATCTCATTCCGATTTTCAATTTCAGCGCAATGTTTTTTTCTATCGTTTTTTTTGTTTTTGAATTTGCTCGTCCATACATCATTTTGGATTATCATATTGTTTATCGATTAGTTTTTGTATAATGCATTTGCTCAATTTCCGACTGAATGAACACTATCATCTCATATACCGAATATTAGATTCGCCTGTTACCTTGGATTGTTTCTATTTAAGTATTATCAGTAGGCTTGTAGATGAACGCCTCATTGTGAAGCCAGGTCTTCTATGTTTTCTAATTTCCGCTTCAATTTTGTTTGATTTTGTTTTTATTTATTTTGATATTGGAAAGGTATTCAAATTCTGCTAATAGGCTATTGTCTGTAGTTTACTCAGAACTGTTTGTTGCATTGGTACCGATGTTGGCATGTTGCTGGTTCGAAACTCGAAAGAGAAGTTTACTCAATATG